ATAGATAGATAGATAGATAGATAGATAGATAGATAGATAGATAGATAATAGAGTACTGACCTTGTTCCACTTGAAAATACACTAATTTAAAATTTGTATTGAACAACAATAAAACAAATGGAAATCAACAAAAATAAAAAGGCTGCGAAGTTAGAAAACTTTTAAAATTTAATTTTACAGTAAATGTATTAATATAATTCAAATGATGATATTTTTAGAAAACAATTCATCCTTCAACAGAACAGAATGACATAAGCTGCTGCAAACGTTTGATATCCGGCACGCGAGGCTTGCTCTACGCGTGCACGTGAGGAGGGCTGCAGCTCGGTGGTGATGGATGGATGGAGTTTAAGCTCGAGGCAAGATGACGCAACAATGTGAACAACAGCTGTAGTAGTAAACAAAAGCCAGCTGACACCCGTGTTTTTTTAAATCCTGCAGCCTGAACTCTTTAAGTGCGTTTACATTAATTCAATTTGAAATGACCAACTAAGTCTAAGTTAGGTCAAAACCCACCAAGCCATCAACAATTTACCTTTAATAAGGGGAGAAATAACTTTAGTTTTTTTTTTGCACATTTCGCAATAAGATGTCAAACTGAAAGGCTTTTCCGTAGCGCGCACGGGGGACAGTTTGATTAAAAACTGCATGATTATTTCTGCTGCTTAAACGTTTAAATAAGTTTTAAAAATCTAATACAAGCTGCAGTGTTTAAAAAAAAAAAAAAATCCCAAAGACTCCTACTTATTCTGCCCCTGACTTTCAGCTGTCACATCCTCAAGCTTTTTTATATCCATCTGAAGAGCGCGCAGTCATGACCCCCCCCCCCCCCCCCCAAATAAAAATAATTAAAAAATAAATAAATAAATATCCACTCACTGGGTATTAAAACAAAAGGAAAATCCATAAGAATAAACCAAAAAGCTGCACCAGCACTATTTTTGACATTCTGCAGAAATTATTCCCTTATTGCACTTTGGTATTTTCATATTAAAGCGCCTCTCATGGTCTTCAGCTCTACTCACTTTCAGTTTTAAACTCTTTTCGAGATGCCAGAACACCAGGCGCTTCATCTCACTGTTGGACATCCACATTGTAGAGTCTTTTCCAAAAATAACCTGAAGTCCACGAAAGAATGAACAAGTCCAAAGTCCAGGATCAGAGAGTCTCATCTGAGGACGCGCGCTGCATGCGCTCTGCTCCTCTGCGCTCCGGAGAGACAGTTTCTCTCCTCCGCTGGTTTGTTGCCATTGGCTGAGGATGCTGCTGATGACAGAGGAGCCCACCGCCCCCAGAATGACGCCTGCTGCTCACCAGGATGGGGGTGTCTGCACCACTAAAGTGTGTAACTGGTGAGATTGGGTCATTGTTCATCATTAAACCGATGTCAGGTTATTTCCTCTTTATTATAGATTTTTAATTCCATGCCTCAGCTCAATAAAACACTCAGAGCTGGAGGCAGCACGTGCTCTTATCTTGAGTCACTGCTGCAGCAGAAAGATTAAACCTTGCAGTTCCACTTTATATGGGATTGAAAACAAACCCACAAAACTATTATTTATATTCCATGAATCAGCAATGTAAAATATAACTCAAGTTCATAACTGATGCACGGGCATAGCTAAATTTTAACAATTTCAAATAAAAATGTGGATCTAAAAATACAGTCTGAACATTGTCTTGTGGAAATAAAAGACTGGAGACGATCTGCTCCTGGAGTTAAAGCCAGACACATGGATCAATGAATAAACTTCATTTTCTTACAAATAAATAACAGAGTGCCTCTCAGGTTTGGTAAACACTGAACTATTGAACAAATTTTCATTCCTAAATATCTTTATAACAAATATACAGGCTTTAAGAGGCCAGATGGTGAGATGAAAATTCTGGGTTGGCACCATAACCAAATCCCATAACATCATTTCAGGAGTTTTATTAACTTCTTGTGCTCTCTGGAGATAAGTCTTTGCTTCAAGTGGACAAGTTCAAGTATCTGGAAGTCTTGTTCTGTGATAGTGAGGTGGAGCAGGACATGGATCAATACAGGCTTCATACATAATAATGTGAGTGTTGCTCTGGTCTGTCATGGTGAAAAAACAAACAAAAAACAAACAAAAAAAACAGCTGAGACAAAAAGGCAAAGCAATTTAATGGTTTCTAACCCTCACCATGGTCATGAGGTGTGGATCATACCAGAAATAAAACAATCTCAGATATAAATGGCTGAAATGAGCTTCCTTTGTTAGGTGGTTGTTCTTAGCTTTAGAGATAATAAGCGTTGACCTCAAAGCTGGTGGTTTGAACATCATATTAGGATGCCACAGCTGGATGTTGTCTGGGCTCATCCCACTGGGAGGAGACCTCAGAGCAGACCCAGAGCTATAGTATGGGAACCTTGGGATCCTAGAAAGCGGGATGTCTGGGTTTTCCTCCTGGACCTGTTGTCTCCACATCCTAACCTCATGCAGCAGAAGTTAGATGGATATCTCAATTGTTATTTTTTGTTTCCAGACATCTCCTTTGCTGTCTCTGCTCCATGTTGAGTGCCGTGCACACAATGATACCCGGTGGCTGTTAGTTCCCTTTAAATATGCTGAATAGCTGATGAGAAGCTGGAAGGCACCTGTGGTACTAATTAAGGTCAAACACTTAGTCTGAAACGTGACCACAATGCAAAGGTCTATGAGACAACTAATCTGTTCACACTATTTTAGTCTATATTTTGAAAAATAAGCAACAAAAACAACAGTATTTTTAATTTTTTTTATATTTACTATGTAACAAACTAAAGGCATGGAGATATACATTAGATGTTTACCTTTAACCAAATCAAGCATTTTTTTCAATGAGCTGTAATAACACTTTTGTTTGTCTTGTTTCATGATAGAATACTGAAAGCATGTTGTCTTGTCAGTTTTAGCTCTTAGCTGCATTCAGTATGTGCACAGAACTGGTCATCTTTTCTGTTTTTCTTTAATCTCTGGAGTCCTTTTCCCTGGTCTCTTGTTCTTCAAAGCAACCTTTAATCTTTTCCCTTCTAAAACCTTTTGACTCATCTGTCTGACCAGCTGCAAACACCACATGCATGTTGCAGTGGTGCCAGATATCTATAGGTCTCGCTTCAGTCCTGCAGTGCACACAACTGCATACAAATATAATCCCACATTTGACCCCGTGTGTGTGGTGAGTAATCTTTAATCCAGGAGTGATGGTGAGAGGCTGAAGTCTGATGCTTTACATCACGGCGAGGGGGACTTTGTTTCAAGAGCTTTGCTCGGCACATGAAACCTGTTGGTCCGAATATGTCATTTCACTAATTCCAACTTCATTAGCAGCATATTACTGTGAAGTATGTGGGATAAGGAGAAATTATATCTTTGTTTTGTGACTTTCTTAAAAGACTATTAAAGCATTTATTTAGACGTCTTTGATCACTTTAAAAGCCATAAGTCTTCCGTCTTAAGAGCCAAGCTTCTAAAACT